GACATTGACGGCGAGCCAGCACACAACGTATGCCTGGGTCCTACGGCGACGAACATACTTGCACAGAAGCAGGCACATGAGAGAAAGGTTTGAGAGAAAGGTTTACGTCGCCCCTCGTGAAACACCACCAGCTAGGCCACGGGTGATCAAAGGACTAGTCCAGGGCTAGTCTACCGACATACATAAGTACGTACTCGCGACCACCGTCGGTGCTCGTGCACATCTGCATAAACGCTCGCAGGGACGTCGTCGGGGCGCGCGCGAACGCGCGCACAAGCCGTCCAATGGCCATCACCCTGAGCGACGGGCCAATCGGCTGTCGTGGCGGGGGCGTTCGTGCGCGCGTACGTACAAACTATGTACGGCTGTGACCCCGGGCGCCTCGGTCGGAATCTTCGCTCTCGAGTCTCCTGGGCCTGAGGCCTGAGATATTGAGAGAGGCTGAGACCGTTTGCAAGCTACGGCGTGATGGAGGACCTAGGTTCGGAGCTGGGACGAGCGGGTGCAGCATCCAACTTGAACTCCATAAGCATCGCAGCGTGCGTAGCGCGCGGGCGACGGACGAGCTCGCTATGCGATGTCAAAAGCGTCGGGCGCACCGCGCGCTCGCGCGCCGCCGGCTTCCTTCGCATCCCAACACGAGTCCGACGGGCGTCGGCAGCTGGTCAATGAAAAGCCCGATGCGCGTGGCGCCGGCGTCCGCGCATCGATTTGCGCCGTGCGACGCGCGATGTGCGATTTCCTCGCGGCGGACGCCCGTGAGTACGTACGTACCTGCAGACGCGTCTGATCCCGAGCTGGGCGCACGCACCGTGACGGCGCTCGGGGCGTCGATCCGGTGCCCCGCCGTGTGTGTGCACTGGGTGCGGTCGCATTTGAGCGTCGAGAACTCGAAAGCGCGGGCGCCGCTTCGTTCGCTGGACGCACGCCAGCCCACATAGGTGCCCACTGAGGTCGAGTGTGGAAGGCCTGTGTGGTTCGGCTTCGACGGTCCGTTTCGCGCCGTGGCTCGAGATCGCCGCTCCTGCCCGCCCAGGCCGCCCGCGCGAGCAGAACGCGGGCCCTATCCCCGCAACGCTGACGAATGACGTGCGTGAGGCTGGCGGCCGCACGAAGGGAGAAGGCGGCGGCGGGGACGTGTACGGGAAGGAGAAGGCGAAGGCGAAGGCCAGCGCGTGACGGGCGTCGAGCGAGACGTCGCGCGTCGGCGTCCCAGGTTCGAAGCAGCGTCCTGCGCCTCTTGCCGGATATGTGCGCCGCGGACGAGTCGAGGGAGGGGGGAACGGCGTTTCCGCGCGCGGGCCAAGCGCGTCGCACGTCCGCGCGTTCGCCCGCAACTTACGTGGCCCGCGTGGGGGGCGACTCGTTGGGGGCCGCCTGAGGCCGCAAGGGGCGGCAGGTGCAGACGCTGTGTGTCACGGCGCTCTGGGGGCGACGCGGGTGCGGATCCCTGCGCAATGGACCCGCTGCAGGATGCCGTACATGCAGATGCTCGCCGCGCCGGGACCGGTCATGCCCCACGCACCTCGTCAGCTTGGAGCCCGGAGTGAGCGGGGTGGGCGGAGTGAGCGGAGTGAGCGGAGTAGGCGCAGCTGCGCCCGCCTTCTTTTCCCGATGGAGGCCCACCGGACGCCGCCGTCACATGCGCGCATGCTCCAGTGGTTCGTTAGCCCCGCAGATGCCCGAAGCCAGACTCCACGCCGGCCTATAAGCAGAGCGCGCGCACTCACTGGACACAAACCCAATCCGCACCTGGACGTCCATCTTCGTCAACCACACGTTCGAACTTCGAACCACGCTCATACATGTCAACCACAGACGCACCTGCAGTAGTTCGAATCCCGCAGCGGACGCTGGCGTCCACTCGCACACGCCTGAGGGCGCCACGTATACCGACCGAGCTTCTGGCCCAGACCCTGCGGCCCGTGGGGGAAGCCGAGTGCGTAGAATCTGAAGGACGCCGACGAGAGTGCTAGAGCCTTTTGGGTACGCCACCAGCGCGCGCGTTCCGGCGAACTTCGTCTCACCCCAGCGTCGGATGGGGTCTTGTGGGCTCAAGGGCCGAATGGAATGCCGGATCCAACGGACGGCGCTCGCGGCTGCAGCTGGTCTTGTCAACGTCACCAGGAGCTCGGAAGGCGCGTCGACGGGAAGGTGGAACAAGACGCCAGCTGGGACGGGCCGCGTCGGGCGACCTGGCGCGAAACGGCGGGCGCGTTGCTAGACGCTTCAGCCCCGTACGTCGCCCGTCGCCCCTCCGTGCCCACTGGAACGCGAACTTGGCACTGGCAGCTGGGAGGGACGCCGTGCGGTGACCGGTGACAGATGACAATTTAAAAGAAATCGCCGACGGGGCGCGCGCGCGCCGCGGTGCGCCATGCCACGGGACGGCGCGCGGCCGGGAATGGACTGGTGCGGTCGCCTTATGATGGCCGTCGTCGGGGGACGCCGGGCCCTGTCGAACACGTACGTCGTATGTTCGGGTTGTCGCCTGGGTGGCAGGCTGCAGCCTGCGCTAGCGTGGTGGGGAAGACGGCCGGATATGTGCCGCGACGGGCTAACCCACTGTGATGAACTCAGCGTCGACGAGCGTGCTCACCTGAGGACGATCCGGAACGCACCGCATCCGCATACGAGCTGTGGCCGCACGACGGGGAAACAAGACAGAGAGGGACAAGACCGTGTCTTCTCGGTCTTGCCACTCGAACTGTGGGTCCGCCCCTTACCACGAGCCATCGTCACGATGGTGACCGGTGGTGGCTCGAACGGTTTGCGTCCTTTTGCGTCCGACTGCCAGGAGGGCAGAGTGCGGCGGCCCGACCCGTGCCGGGTGGCGGCCGGCTACTTATCTACGCAGGCGACACGCGCACATGGCACCGTCGCGCGCGTGGTGCCGCCAGGCTCCCAGGCCCTGACAGTGATATCATGCGCGTGTGTCGACGACGGTCGCGAAATGCGACGTGTCGCTCGCACCCCTTGCTCAGGATCCTCGCTGACCGGACCATCAATACGTCGCGTCCTGAAAGTCGAGACGGCTTTTGCCCGCGTGCAGGTCCCATAAGTAAGTACATATGCCCAGTGCTGCTCGGCCGGGACTGCGCACCGCCACGGGCGTGGTTCGCCGGGCTCGAGGCGCGGCGCGGCGATACGGCGGCCCACACAGCGTCGCACTGCAGCAGCACGCCTCGAGTCTCGACAGCCCCGGTCGGTTGCAAGGAAAACGCAAAGCCAGCCAAACTCGCGTCCCTCGGCCAAGTCGCCGGACGTACGTACCGGCCCAGCCTCGTTCCATGGCCGATGAATGTTCCACACTGCGCACGTCTTGCAAGTCGCAGCCCAGATGGCAAGAGCTCTCGTAACGGTTACGCGCGCGCCGTCACGGCCGCCGCCTCGCGCCCAATCGCGCGGCGGGCGGGCGGGGCCTCGCGGTGATGCATGTGCAGGGTCGGTCACGCCCCCCCGCCGCCGACGGGCTCGCGCGACGGGCACTACGCAGCGCAACGAAATTCCACGAGTGGGTCGGGACGGTCGCGCGCATTCGATCGATCGCTGCCCGGCGAGGCCCCAGAGTTCGCAGGGCGATCGAGAAGGGGAGGAGCGGACGCGCGCCAGGCGTTCCAAGCAACCATCGACGTCGACGGCGCGCGGCGGGGCGCCAGCCGAAGCTCGCGCTGCGTCGGGCGGGGACCGGCCCCGCGAACAGATCCCCCCACTGGAGCAGCGTTCAATGAGGTGCAATGCGAGCCCGATTCGAAGCGTCGAAGGTCCGGCGCGAGGCAGGTGAATTGCGGTTTCGTGGGACGCGCGGGGAGCGTGACATCACGCGCGCCCCGGCGCGCGCGCAGATGACGACGTACGTACGCCGCCGCTTCCTTTCTGTCGTTCTCTCCCCCCTTCCCCACTCGCTCCCCGCCGCGGGTGGGATCTGAGCAGAGAGGCGGGCGGGCGAGCGCGGCGCGGATGGAGCTCGGGGGCGGTGGGAGATCCGCGCACGCCCACCGGAGCCGGGGCACGCTCGCGGTGGGGGCCGCGAGCGGCGTGGCCTGAGAGGCGTCCGCATCGGGCCCCTCGCCCCCGCGCGCGCGGCCTGCGATTGGGCCGCGACGCAGGCGAGCAGCGTGGCCGGGAGCGTGACGTGGGAGCACGCAGGGGTCCGGGATCGTGGGGGCGGGCGCGGCTCTCCAGGGGGGCGCCCGATCTGGCCGATGGAGATGGCGATGGCGATGCGCGCGAGCGCCGATAGGTCCCGGCTACGGCGGCCGGCCTGTGGCCCGTGCGCGGTGCGCGGGTGCGTCGTCGCCCGTTGGCGTTGCGACAAGTTGCGTTGCGAGTCGCGACGGCGGGTGTGCGCTGGGGTCTCACTGCGCCCTGTGTGGGGAGGGCGTGCATGTGCGGAGATGCGAGCGCGCCGGCGTTTGCGATCTCCTGTGAGGGGAGGGGGTGGGCGACACCTGGCTGAGCGGCCGCATCAGCGGGAGAGGGAGAGGGGCGGGGGCACCAGGCGTGGGGGCACGCGCAAGACGCGGAGAAACAGGATCAGGCGCCGGAGGGATAGTCCGACGGTTGGACCGAGGGGCGGCAAGTTGCGATGAAACAGCGATAGAGAAAGCTTATTTGAATCGGGCAGGAGGGTGCCGCGCGAAGGGACCCAGCACCGCGCGTCTGCCCGGGGGGCGTGGTCGGCGATATTTAACGATCCGGAGGATTCCCGCCGTGCCCTGCGACACCTCCGTTGCTGAGGCCCCCTCTCCCCTCCCCGCCCCCCCGACGCCACTCCGTCCTCCCCACCCTCCCCATCCCCGTCCCTATCCCCTCGTCACATATCTGCCATGGCGCTTGCAGCTGTCATTGCCTCCCGCCTTTCCTCCCTCCCCCCCGCCCATCGCGTCCCCCGCCACGACGACGCGTCGAGCATCTCCTCTGAGGGTACGTTGCCTCGCGTGACGCGCCTCTCGCCTCCTAACCACCTCCCTCCAGACGCGTCTCCTGGAAGCTCTTCGATGAGTTCCTCCTACGACACGCGCTCCATCTTTTCCGAGCCCTGCGCCCCCACCGAACCCGGTCCCTCCGACTACACTCGTCCCAGGCGCAACGAGCATTTGGCCGTTCTTCTCCCCAAGCGACTCTGGAAGGTCAGTACCAGCTCTTCTTCGCGTCGCGTCTTCCCCGCTCCCATCGTGGTTTGCGCCACCCATTTCACGTGACTGAATGTTGGGTTTCTCTTCACAGCCCGACTCCCAGGCCGCCCACTGCGATACCTTCTCCTGCCGCAAGCACTTCTCCATCTGGGAGCGTAGACACGTGAGTCTGCCGTCTTGTCGCCGCTCTGTTCTCTATGCTCAACGTGCTCTGCCTGGCGACAGCACTGCCGGAAGTGTGGCGGTGTGTACTGTGGTGATTGCAGTAGCAAGACCACCTCCCTCCTCGACACCTCGAACCTCAACTTCTTTCACCCGCCCCGCAATGTTCCCATCATCGTCTACGACTCGCCGACGTCTCAGGTCCTCGAGTCTCGCGTGTGCAATGACTGCCACGATCTGATCCACGGGCGCAAGTCGCCCAGGTCTCCCGTCATCTCCAAAGCGAGCCCCATTGCCCTCGTGCGCGAGTCTGAGACCGGCTTCGCCTCGGGCTCCTCGTCCCTGTCCTCTTCCGTTTCTACCCCCTCCGACAGTTCCCCGCTCCATGCTCTGCCCCCGCGCCCTCGCCCCCGGCGGACCCACACCTCGCCTCGCATCTCACCCTCCTCTCCCCTCGTCACCACCACCCCACTGCCGAACAACCCGGTCCTTATTGCGGACGCCGAACTGTTGGGCGAGCTCGAGGCGTACCCTCTTCGCATCGCCAGCAACGTCTGCAAGGCCACTGGTGGCGGACGTTGGGAGCCTAAGCCGATCCCGGAGTACGTGACCAAGCGCATTCCTGGGTGCAAGCCCGCGTACGAGCTTGAGCTTGAGCGCGAGGAGGCCGAGCGCAAGCTTCGTCGCGCCAACCCGGTCTTCAGGGATGGTGGTGAGTACTTTCTTGTACCTTTCAGTGACCGCTGGCGCTGACGCACTTCGCAGACTTCCAGCTCCGTGCCCCACGCGAGATGGAGCCTAGGTCGCCAGGCGGCCCCTTCACCCTGTCCACTTTTTGAGACGAGTCGTCGTCTACCCATTGTAATCCTTTGGTCTCTCGTCCGGTCCCTCTCCCTGGTAGTCTGCGACTGTCGCCTATGCTGTGTACTATCATTATTACTGGATTGCTGCCGGTCGTACCTATGTTACCTTTTAGTGTCCACTCCGCTGTGCTTTCGTGTCGATATACCTGTACCCCTGTTACCCTTCGGATTGTTTATACCTTGCCGCCCTTATTCCCCCATCCACCCTGCGCTCGGCCGACCCCTGGCCGAGCCCTCTCCTCCTCTTTACCCTTGTTCCCGACCTCCCCACGCTCTCACTGCTTGGACTCACTAGCCCTAATTCGCCCCAGTGCAGAGTCTCTCCCACCTGGACTGTCCTCATCCGTCCTCGTCTCCATCTCCGCCCCAGCCCCCATCCCGAGACTCGCTCGCTGTCGCATAGATCGCTGCCGTCCCGTCCGTCTCTCCTTTGCCTGCATAGGGTATGCCCCTCACCGGCGGCCAGCGCCGGTTGTCTACTGTCGTACAGTACCTGTACCATATTGTTCCTTCGCATGCGTTAGAATGGAGATCCCCGTTACATGCCGAAAGCCCCTCGCGTGTTCGTGTGCAGTGCAAAGTACGAGCGCGGGGACGTCGTATGCAGGAGCGCGGATCCTGGGGCGGTTGGGATGCGGCGCGGGACCAGTCCGGTGCAGGCGGCGGGCGGCCTGCGCTCGGTGGCGTCTGGGCGAACATCTGTTGCGCAAGCTCAAGCTCGAGGCCCTGCAGAGATCCAAGGACGCGTGCGCTGCGTCCATAAAGCGGATCGAACCACGGACCGGCGCTCTGGCCTCCCGCACCCGGACACCGTGGCCCGGGGCCCCGCGAACCGCGCCCGATGGGGGTCGGAGGGAAGCACCGTTGGTGGCACGGCGTCGCCCACGCCGCGCGCGCGCGTGGGATCCAGTGAGGACGCGCGGGGGCTCGAGAGGCTGAGGGCGACGGTTCGGGAGGCCCGGCGGTCCCTCGCGTTCGTACGTACGCACGTCGAAGCTTCGGCGTCCTCGCGTGGTTTGTCGGTGCGCGCGTGGACCTCTAGACTGCGAGCGGCTGGATCCGCGCGCTGGCCGAGCGCTGAGCGCTGAGCCTGTCTGGACTCTGCTGACTGGGGCGCGAGGATCCTTGGTGGAGTGTGCACCCCAGAACTCCTCGAGCCTCTCGAACCCCCGCGAGTCCGTGCACGGGCCCGAGTCGAGAGGCGTTGCAACGCGTGCGCGCGGGAGCGGTGCTGGACTGCGTGGCGGTTCGGGCTGCGCGGGGCGGGGTCGTCCGCCGCGGCTCGTTGCGAAGCCTGTGTACTAAGGACGACGTCGCCAGCGACGGACGGCTCGACTCTCGAGCGTTCTTAGGTGTCCTTATCTCGCAGCCTGCAGGGTCGGCGGTGCGTCTGGCTCTTTGGCTAGGACGCCGCGCTGCGGAGTGCAGCGGTGGCGCGGCTCGCGAGGCGCGACGGAGGCACAGAAGCGCGGGCGGGCACCCAACGCGCGGAGGGCTCGGATGCCACACATGCACGCACGCGCGGGCTCGACCGGCTCGTCGTCGACGTCGCACTGTCAGGACTCAGGCCTCAGGCTCAGGAGTGCTGCTGCTGTGGAACGGCGAACCTGCGAGCGGAACGCCCGCATGCAGGCCTGAACGGGGAGCGTCCCGCCTCCCGGCGTTCGGCGGGCTCTGGGGTCCGGTCCAGGGCCTGGAGTCTATGTGCGCGCGTTCCGCGTGGGCAAGGCGGCGGACCGGGGGTACGTAAACGGCCCGCGCGCGGGCGCGGGGATGGTCCGTTTGGCTTTAGCCTGCGAGAGCAGGCACGCGGGTGCATGTGGCTGGAATTCGGTCGGTGAGCTTCCGTGGACGGTGCCTGCGCGCGGAGGGGCCTGTGCGGATCTTCGCGGCCTCCGAGGTTTATACTTACATGACGGAGAGCGACACGGACGCAGCGGCACTGGGAGGGCGAGCTCCCTGGTGAGGCCTTGAGGGGTGTGGTGGACGGCGCGCGGATGGATCATGCGTGATTTCGTCTGATGGCGGGTTCGTGCAGAGCGGAGGGCGGAATGGAGGGAGAGCGGAACATGGCCCGGGGCGCGCTCGGTTGTGGTCGCGGGACGGGGCTGTAAAAGTAACGGACGTCGGAGGTGGCCGCAGCGGGATCGCGGGCCTTTTCCCATACGCGGGCGGCCGCTGGCGCGCGTTGAGTGCGGGCGAGGAGAGAGAGCTGGGTCAGCCAGAGCCTCATCCATTCTGGAGGCGGTCGCCGTTGGGTTGACGAGGGTGTGACGCACGAGAGAGCAGCCGAGGCGTGTGCGCAGGGGATCCGGTGCTTGTAACTGGCTCGGAGCAGAATTCAAATATTCACGCCTCGAACAGCCTGGACCCGAGCTTCAACTGTCGACTAAACTAGGGACCTGACGTTGAGCTTCGTAGGGACGCTTGGAACTTACTAACCACTGTGGTGCGCACGCTTACTCGCCAGTTCGTTGTCCTCGCGTCAAGCTGACGAAGTGACGGGAGTTTTCCGGGATGGCCAGCCACTCGAGCCTGTTTAACGCTGAGTACAACCGGAACACTGCATGTCTGTCTTTGCTCCCCAGGATTGTCGGCGCGCGCACATCCTAGAAAAAACGACGAGTGTTTCGTCTGAAATCTACAAGGTTTCTTACATTGATGTATGTCGCATCTTTGCAGGGTTGATTGCGTCCCGCGACATGTCTGCTTCAATATCAGCAGTTCACCCGCCCCGGAATCCGCTCGGTGATTCACGTCCATCGCTCTCCTTAGCTGTATTACGTGGTCGAGGGGGATGTGACGGCTATTTCATTGCCATTAATGAGTGGACGCACACACCATCGCAGATGCACTTGAATCTGGATATGGAACTGTGAGCAGAGGCTGTGATTATCTTCTAGCTGGTAACACGAGATCTGTACATGTTTGATTCACGCCTGCTTTCATCACGAAACTTGCGCTCGGACGATCCCGCGCGATCACGGGGACGGATGCAGATCAGAGTATGTCCTAACGGCACCGGGCATGATCATGCAGACGGCCATAGAGCGAGAGATGATCATATATTCGACGGAGAGACGTTTTCAGATCTCATGCCGTCTAAAAGACAGGCAATGATCGCGCAGACAGGCTTATGGTCGACCATGATCTGACAGGAGGGGTGTAATGGTCAGCCGTGTCCGGCCCGGCACCAGTCGGCCGACCGAGTAGGACCCGACACAGGCTGAGCGATGACGGTGCGCGACCCTTCTAAGATCTGCACTTGACCGTACGCCAACCACTGAACCGTACACAAGTGGGCGATGAGCTCGTCTCAGCTTCATTATATTAGACACCTTGTTTCTCATCGCTGCTATGCAGCAAGTTGTGCGCGGCCATGCCGGCCTCGTATGCGAACTTCCCCTGCACTCTCTTCCACTTTCCGAGTCGCCAATGATGGCGAAACCCTCCGGATGTTCTTAGATGGCACTGGAAGCATCGAGAACATGCTGGGTGAGGTCATGGAGGTCTTTGGCACAACACACGTCCAAACCACGTGACCATGGCCCTGGGCGTTTCAAAAACGCCAAAGCGCGAACTTCCCGAACCCCCATGTCCTCCTCTCCCCTCCACCATCTCCCACATTCGTGCGATCGTCATATAGCCCAACCCATATCCTTATGACTTGCCCTGCCGAATCTCATTTGCTCACAATGATCCTCTCTGTTACATGCTTCCACTGCCAGGACCTGACACCGCCAACGGCCGCGTTAAACAGAACACTTGGGAAGCTTTGGTACGTGACAATGCATCATTTTATGCGCATATACCCAGTCCTTCGACCGCAGGGCACGAGGGCTGAGCCCAAACGCAAGTCGGACCCGTCCATTATCGTCATGTTGACCTGCTCTGACCTGGTTGCTGCCGATGCTCCGTGAGTATCTGTCTGCTATATGCGCACTTAATTGACACGTCGGGTAACGGTGGGTTTTACTGTGCATGCATTCCTTCTGGATTTGACCTGAGGCGAATTACGACAAGACCTCGGCGCAAGCTCACGGTACGTACAGCACTTTCTTGCTCATTTTCTCACCTAACGTCCACACAACAATGCGCCGGCCCACGGAGGAAGTACGGCATTGTAGCGAGTCCCACTCATCTGATCTACGACCACCACTGCGCAGCATATAATCTCCCCATTAACGCGCCCACCACAGGCGCGATGAACCCGATCTTGGACGATGGGTCTGGTTGACTCCGTCCCGACGTTCGACATCGTGATATCCTGGATGAGAGGCGGCAGGTTGATCTACGTTGCGCGGAATGGTGCGTCCATCTCTCTCTTCCGTCTCATGCGATATGTGCCGACCACTTTCCCCCCGACCCCATCGCCGTCGATGCAGCCGACTGCTTGGTCTCCAAGGGCGACCTCAACGTCACGCTGCAGAACCTCCTGACAGGTGACAACTTACCTGCTCCGCGCACGGTGCCCTGTATGGCGCGTCCTCCTCTCCCATCCCGTTGTGTTTCTCCGGTAGCTCTTATCATATGGCCATAGGTATTCGTGCGTTTCTGTTGTCGCTGTGTCGTCTGTTGTATCGTCAGATAATGTACGCTTTAGTATAGTAACGGTCCAATAATTATTCTGTCTCTGATTTATGTCGTTCGAATGTCTCTATATGTATGCTCAAGCTATCCCTTGCGTACGACCGTACCACGTGTTGGTCCGATCAATGTCGACCAAATGGCTGTAGCCGTTCGACCGAGCCCGACCAGAAGCTCCGTGAGGTCCGACCATGTGGGACCATACTGCCCTGTCCGTCGGCTCATAGACGGTCCAAGACCACCGTGAAGTAGACCTAACGAGATCAAACTGCCCCCACAGCAAGACCGTCCGGGATCGCCCTCCCACTGACCGCCGATCGCCCTTGCTCGTGTTCGACGATATTGGGTCGTTATTCGTCACAAGAAGGCCGGGCGGACAAATGATGATCTGGCAGACTTATTTCGATCTCACACGCTCTGCTGACGATCCTCTCGCTGCAATTTTCGTGATGTTGGACCGACTCGGGCCTTTCGAGCGTCTACATTACCATATCCAGAGAACAACGCCCAACGCCACACGCCACTCGCACCTCGGGCATCTTCTTCGGTTCTTGGATTCCTGCTGCCGGGCCCTCGTCTTTAGACTGCTGCCCAGCGTCGTTTCTTCAAGTAGCTGTCCTCGTGCCCTCGATCAGGGCGTCACCCTCCTTTGGTTTCCGGGTTTCCCTCCTCCATCCTCCCTCAACAGCACGCCTCACGCTCCGACCCATCCGTTCTCCTCCGCGCAGCCGTTCTCTCTCTCTCCTCCGAGGTTCTCTGGCACTATCTGGGTGACCGCCCTGCTCTAGTTTCCCTGTCGTCCTCCGCATCCAATCCCGCCACGGCCCGCCCGACGCGCCCCGAGCCCCCGCTCCCACTTTCCGCCGGTCGCGGACGGATGAGGCCTGAGGATCGCTCACCGCGACGCCCCCAGCACCCCATCGAATGTCCGACCCGTTCTCGCTGCCGACGCCCTCTTCCCTTGACCTGACGATCGGCGCCGAGCTTGTCGGACTCGGCGTCTCGCTCGCGTACGTCACTAGCCTTTTACCGATTACGAATTCACGCCGCTGACGCGCGGCGAACAGGCTCTATGGCGCGACGACCGGCCAACTGTTCTGGTACTTCCGGAAGCTCGACGGGTTGAGCCTGAGGAAGTGGATGGTCTACTACGTGAGTCTTCGTTCGGTCTTGTGCGCATACGGTCAGGCTGGATGGGTGCATATAGGTCGTGGTGCTATGGTGAGCGTGCCATGCTTCTGTAGAGCCGCTGCGGGGAGTCTTATGCCGCTTTTGCGATGCGAGGTCGTTGGGAACCGCGCAAGCCGTGCTTTCCTCATACCTGCTGAGCAGATACCTCGTAGTCGGAAGAGGTGACCTTCCTGCCCTCTTCGGCTGCACGAAGCTTTACGCAGTGCGTCCCTCCACGAATCCCTGCCGCGTCCATGCTCACATTTAGCTTGCAGGCAAATGCCATATCGTCGGTGAGCGATAGCGTTTTCTCGCTCGTCAGCCTCTTACATACTCGTCGTTCTCCATCGCAGGACATCAGCAGCGCCATGGTCCGGCTGTAAGTCCCAACCTCGGCTATGCAACGTCAAATGCTCACACGGGCACCACACCGCAGTGGATACTTCTACAGGATCTGGAAATGTGAGCCTCTCGATCTGCTCACGTCTCGCGCTAACCTATGATATGACCTTCCAGTCAACCGCCAGCGATATCTCATCTTGATTGTTCTGGTTCGTACCTGCGTCTCTGCGCCATCGATGACGTACAAGTGGTTTTTTCAGGGTGTTGTCTTGACATTGCTAGTGACTGCATTGTCGCTTCGTGAGTGCGCTTCGCCCGATTGGTTTCCCCATTGGCGCTGACGTGCTTGTACGCGGGTGAAGTCTTCGGCATCGTCTCGTGAGCTGTCTCCGGCACGTCCTTTGGAACGTAAACTGACGTGTCGCAGAACCCGCTTTGAATTCTTCTGGCAAATACCGCAGGCGCATCTGACCGTGAGCGTTCACTGCTGTGCAGTCATCCCGATGCTCGTCTGACAGACTTTGAACGACCCGCTAGTGGACGTTCTTCCTCTCGGCCGGTGCGCAGATCACCGTCGACTCGATGATCTCCTTCGCCGTCTTCGCTTCCTTCCTGCGGTTCTACTCTGGGGTCAAAAGGTACGCTCCGCGCGCCGAGTCGTTCATTGTGCAGATGCTCAACATAGTCGTTCGCTCAGATTGGACCTGTTGATCCGGACCATCGTAGTCTTTGCACTCAGCACGGGCTCGCTCAACGTGTGCGTACCGTCTCAAGCGCTCAATCTGCGCGGCGTCGATACTGATCGTTGGCATACACAGTCTCCTTTCGACCTGCAGCATCATCCTCGTAAGCCCCCCTCTCCCCCGCACGCCCTCGCCGCTGACCGCCCGGCACCCGCGCACAGTTCAGCGTGGTTCCGATGAGCTACGTGTTCATCGCCGTGTACTGGGTCTCGTGCCAGCGTGCGTGTCTCGCTCTCTCGCTCTCGCTCTTGTTCTTTGGCCCGCCCGTGCGCTGACCCCACCCCCGCGCGCAGTCCAGATCTGCTCGTTCCTCGCCGTGCTCAACGCCGAGAAGGAGCTCGTGCACCGCTCGCTGAACCACGCCCAGCTCGCGCGCGGCACGGCCGGGGAGACGATCCAGTTCACGACGAGGGTCGAGCTCGGCTCGTTCCCGGGCACGCCGCCGCCGTCGGTCGACGCCGGCGGGGAGGAGGGCGGGCCCCGGGTCGGGGGGTTCGATGGGGGAGGGGCGGGCCGGTTCAAAACGCGGCGCCGCGGACATGGGGATGGGCGGAGGGGAAGCGTGGTGGATTCTGAGGTGAATGGGGGAGGAGGGAAGGGGGTGGAGTTTGTGGATGGGAGGCGTGCTAGTGAGGTTGAGGAGGAAGGGGGTCTTGACCGGACAAGAAAGGTGAGTTTTTGCGTTTGTGCGTCCTGGGATGTGCGTGCTAACTATGCGGTTTGGTTAGAGCTTCCCGTGTAGGGCGCTGGACTGAGTGGATGACTGCAACCTCGCATCTCTACCAAGAACGTACCCTTTGCATATCTGCTTTCGAGCCTCTCCCTCTCCCCTCATGCCCTCGCACGTCGCATCTGTACTGACGCATACCTCGCAATCCCTGGGGGCCCTTTCTACGCCTCGCATACAGTACTTCTACTGCACGTTAGTCTTCCTTTTCTCGCTAGAGTCCGTCGCTCCGTCAATGTCTACCCCCCCGCTCTCGCCGCTTCTACGACGATCCTGAGCCGTCCGTACCCCACACCTCTATGTCGCCTACGCACATGGGCCTATAGCCACATCCTCTTTCCTCTTCATGAACACGATGGCATCCAGCTCCCGCTTACATGCGCGCATCACACCAGCGTCGAAGGCGACGACGCGCTTGTCCGGGGCGTGCTGCGGCGTCTGCATGTGTTTCGAAGCGCGGGCGTGACAAGAAGGCAGCTGCGTCGGGCGCGGAGGCGAGATCTAAGGAACCGCGGAGGGAGCGCTCCGAGCCGAGTACGACGCGCGGGCTGTCGTTTGATGTGTCGATGTCTCGCGATGACCGGTTGACCGTCGATCGGCGCGCGTTGCGATCTCGTCGTCGCGACGGACGGACGGACGCTGAGCGAGAACGCGGCGCCGCGCGCGGGACGTTGTCGCTGGTGCTTGACGCCGAGGAGGCCGCGGGTGGCAGGGCGATTAGATTGCGAACAGCAGCTTGGTTTGACGGAGGAGACGGTGTGTCGGGTAGGCTTTGCAGGGATCAGGGTGTGACGCGAACCTTGCTCGGCACGGGTATGTTCAAACCTAGCCTGTGGGCATGCGCTGGAGATGCCCGGGTGGCCATCGCAGGGGGGTGCATACGGCGCAGCGCGGCGGTGCGATAAGACATGGACAGCCTCGGAGAGGGCCTGCGCAGGGGGGGTGTGCGCGGATCAGTCGGTGCTGCTCAATCACGGCGTGCAAACGCTGAGAGACGAGGGTTGGTGATCGCAGAGCCCACGGCACATGCGACTTGCTTTATGGAGCGGGTTTGATACAGCAGCGGTCGTCTCGACTTTGAGTGGACCGCACCCATCAATATTCAATCACGAGGGATGATGCACGTTAATGGCGAGATGTCGAGGAGACTCGGAGTCTGTCTTGCATGATAGAACGGGAACCGGCGTCGGGTTCTGTCGAGTAGCGGAGTCGAACTCCCCACCCAAGCGGAGCTCCCACGGCTCGGAGCGCGCGCACGGACACGCTCTGCTCCGCGCACACCGCCCACGCTCTTCTTCCCGACGCCCATCTTCTGTCCCACCATCGCCACCTTCCCCATCCGTGTGCCCTCTGCTCAAGTGCTGTAGGTGTATCCGCGCTCTGCACCCGCACCCGGGACTCAGGTGCGTCTCTCCTCTGCGGCGATGCGTGGACATCTGGACACTGGACTGGGGCTATGTCCACACGGACCGGGCGCACGGTGTGGCGTAGGTGCAGCGCGCGCAGCCTGGAGATGGTCATGGATGCTGGGGCGGGGACGCATATAGGCGGGTGTGTGTTGTTGCTGGTGATGGCGTTGGATGAACACATTACCGTCCATCGTGCGCTGCGCGCTGGGGCCCGTTGATGGGTGGAACATGGGTGGACAGTGGGCAGGTGCTGGGAGTTTGGATGGATGGCGACGGAGGATGGACAACGTTGCGAGCTAGTCCGCACGCTCCTGCGCTGTACCCGCGTCGTCCATCATGTGCAGGTATGGCTCACAGTGCTCTGGTGCCGCCTTTGCTGCGCCGATGCGTCGTGCATGAGCCCACACTGATGATTTGATGATCGCAGATCCCCAATGTCCGTGCGCCATATATACACAACGCGTGTCCCGGGGAAGGGACAACAAAGCACACGATGCGGGCCGTCCACCCCCCACTTCCACCTCCGTCGTGGCTTCTCGCCCGATCTCTACACGAGGCACGTTGCGTTCTGTATGCATTTCGTCATCTTCCCTCTCAGCCGCCTGCCCAATCCGGAGACCTCTCGAATACGCTGCGCACCACACGCTGTGCGCGCCTCACCCACCCCAACATCTTCGTCGTTCCTCTGCTTGCACGCTGCATGAGTGGCGGGCCACGATGCACCGCAGAACGCACGCGTACAGGGATCTTGTCGTCTTTGTGCTGATGGGGTGGCACGCTGATTCCTCTGCACCCCCGTGCCGATATCTTGGCTCCCCATCTGTATAGATCGAGCATCTCACTTGAGTATATGTGATAACGATCCGTTCTGGCGTCTCAGTCGCTCTTCTAGTGCACTGTGCTCGGTTCGCAGGAGGTGAAAACCGGGACGGTCCCGACGTGCGGACCCACTGGATTTGCAACGTCCCGCGAGCCTGGACGCCAAAGCGCACGCGTGCCCGGCCCGCTCTGGCTGCGCAACGTCGTTCTTGACGCCCTTGGACGACTGACTGATCAACGTTCAACGTTCAACTAGAGTCTCCTGGCCTTCGCCGTCGTCTCCACCACCTGTCGGTACACGACAACCACTCACCACTCTCAGCCCACCCTCTATATGACATCTTGTATTGGATCTCCTCGGTGTACATAGGAGGTTATTTGTTCCCCCCGAAGCTGTTAAACATCTGCTCATCAAGGTATACGGGGTTAACGACAAAGTTGCTGGCCTCACGACGGTGAGACAGTAATTCTCCACCCACCGCAATCTCGATGCGCCGAGCCTCGTTCCCTTTGGCCCTGTCGACACAAACATTCAATCCTCCCAAGAGTGGGTCTTGGGCTGTAGACTTGCCTTCGTTGACCGCGTAGCGTCCGCACCGGATGTCTCTCTCGACGAAGCGACTGAATTGTACGCCAACCTCAATGGGACTTGAGGACATCAAGTACGTCGACTTTCGCTTCGTCAAACATGACTATCTTAAGTGGAAACGACGTCCGTAGGGGTGACTCGTATCGCTCGAGCCTCCGAGAGGGACGGACACGAGTGGCGCTGAGCAGGCGGGGCCTCGCGACGCGCAGTGCGCATCAGCGCTCGCCGCCGCGGGTGGCAGGGCGATTAGAATGCGGACGGGGGTGGCAGGGCGAGACGGAGAAGTGCAGCCGCTTGGTTTGATGGTTTGATGAACGGGAGAGCGGAATGGGGGAGAGCGGAGGAGGGCCCGAGACGCGCTCGCGGAGAGGGCTGTAACGGTCCACGAAGGTAGAGAGGAATATATAAGTCGCCTGCGCTATTTGATACCTCCGGTCGTAACGCTGCGTAAGCGACCGCGACGGCTCGACTTGGACCAGAAAATACTTAGAGATGACCGCGGCGGGACCGTGGGTCCTTTCCCATCGGGTTGCGCCGGCGCGCGTGGAGGCGCGCGCGTCCGAGGAGAGGGCGCGGAGGGAGAGCTGGGTCGGCCACAGTCTCATCGATACTAGAGGCGGTCGACGCGAACTTAACCTGGACCTGAGCTTCAACTTTCAACGTCAACTTTCAAGCAGACTCGTTCCGTCCACATCGAGCCGCCACCCGCTGAGCGTCTACACTACCATATTCGGCACAGCGTCGGGACTCGGGAGAGGGATGACGCGCGACTCGGATGGCGTCTTTCGGCTGTTGGATTGTTGCTGACATGGACAGGCCGTCGTCCTTAGACTGCGCACGAATGTCGTTCCTTTTAAAGATCACCGTCGTCCCTGTTGTCGCGCCCATAAGTAGGGCCTCCACCTCTCTTGGCCTCCAATTTTCCTCTCTGCGCTCCTCCATCCACACCGCTCAACGCACCCGTTTTCCGCGCGGCCGTTCTGTCTCTGTCTCTCTCGGTCTGAGGATCTCTGGCACTCCGCATCCGATCTCGCCGTGGCGCGACGCGCACCGACGCGCACTAAGCTCCCGCCCCCACACTCTCTCCGCCGGCTGCGGACGGATGAGGATCGCTCGCCGCTCCCCACCCCGCACCCCGTCGAATGTCCCACTCGTTCCCGCTGCCGACGCCCTCTTCTCTTGACCTGACGATCGGCGCCGAGCTCGTCGGACTCGGCGTTTCGCTCGCGTGCGTCACCAGCCTGTTACCAATCGCGACGTCACGCCGCTGACGCGCGGCGAACAGATTCTATGGCGCGACGACCGGCCAGCTGTTCTGGTACTTTCGGAGGCTCGACGGGTTGAGCCTGAGGAAGTGGATGGTCTACTACGTGAGTCTTCGTTCGTTCTTGTGCGCATGCGGCCAGGCTGAACATGTGCTCGGCCTTGGGACGTTTATAGGTCTTAGTGTTATGGTGAGCTTGTAATCCTGCAGAGTCGCTGCGGGAAGTCTTATGCCGCTTTCCCGATGCCAGGTTGCTGGGAACCATGCAAGTCGTGATCTCCTCATGTCTCGTGGGCAGATACGTTGTCGTCGGAAGGGGTAATCCCGCCGCCATTTTCGGCTCCACCAAGGTTTACGCAGTGCGTCCCTCCGTGAACCCCCAGCTGTCGCGTCGGTGCTCACATGTGTCGTTGGCCTTGCAGGCAAATGCCATAACGTCGGTGAGCGATAGGTGTGGCTCGATAACGCCCAGACCAGCTTCTGACATACTCGCTCTTCTCCATCACAGGACTTCAGCAGCTGCATGGTCCGGTTGTAAGTACGAATCTCGGTGAGTTGTGCTCTGTCACATGCTCATGAGAGCACCACACCGCAGTGGATACTTTTACAGGATCTGGAAATGTGAGCCTCGCAATCTGCCCACGTCTCGCGCTGATCCATGCTCTTCCAGTCAACCAGAAGCGATATCTCGCCTTGATCATTCTGGTTCGTACTTGCTTTTTTTCACCATGGATGACGTACAACTTGTGGCTCTGTCAGGGTGCTGTCTTGACACTGCTAGTGACCGCACTGACCCTTTGTGAGTGCGCTTCACCCGTTTATTTTCCCATCGGCACTGACTCCTTGCTTGTACGCGAGTGAAGTCTTCGGCATCGGCTCGTAAGCGACAGTGTCTCTTGCACGTCCTTCGGAACGTAAGCTGACGTCTCGCAGGGCCCGCTTGGATTTCCTCTGGCAAATTCCAGGAGCGCATTTGACCGTGAGCGTTGGCTGTGCTGTGGTCTCATCCTGTTGCTCGTCTGACAGACTTTGAACGACTCGCTAGTGGACGTTCTTCCTCGCGTCCGCCGCGCAGATCGTGGTCGACTTCATGATCTCCTTCGCCGTCTTCGCTTCCTTCCTGCGGTTCTACTCTGGGGTCAAAAGGTACGCTCCGCGCGCCGAGTCGTTCATTGTGGAGATGCTCAACATAGTCGTTCGCTCAGATTAGACCTGTTGATCCGGACCATCGTGATCTTTGCACTCAGCACGGGCTCGCTGAACGTGTGCGTACCGTCTCACGCGCTCAATCCGCGCGGCGTCGATACTGATCGTTGGCATACACAGTCTCCTTTCGACCTGCAGCATCATCCTCGTAAGCCACGCTCTCCTCCGTCGGCCTGACCCGGCCGCAGCCGCTGATCGGCCGCGAGCAGTTCAGCGTGCTTCCGGCGAGCTATGTGTTCGTCGCCACGGTCTGGGTCTTCTGCCAGCGTGCGTGCCCCTCCCCCTTCTTCCGCGCCTGCTGACCTCCCATCTGCATCCGCACGCAGTGGAGATCTGCTCGTTCCTCGCCGTGCTCAACGCCGAGAAGGAGCTCGTGCACGAGTCGCTGACCCACGCGCAGCTCGCGCGTGGCACAGCTGGGGAGACGATCCAGTTCACGACGAGGCTCGACGTCGGCTCGTGTGCTGGCACGCTGCAGCCGTCGATGGGCGGCATAGAGGAGGGCGGGTCAGATTGGGGAGGGTCGAGCCGGTTGGGGTCGGCTGGGCAAGGGTGTGACGGGTACAGGTACGAGCGGAGGGGAATCGCGGTGGGTTCGGGGACGGGCGCGGGGAGGGGGAAGGGGATAGAGCTGAGAGGGGCGGAGTTTGCTGATGGGAGATGCGCTGTGGACGGTGGGGAGGAGGGGGGCCTTGCCCGGACAAGAATGGTGAATTTTCGCGTCTGCGCCTCCGACGATGCGCGCGCTGACTACGCGGTACAGTTGGAATTCTCCATGTAGCGCGGTAGACCGATGGGTCGCACTCTGGGAGGCTGCAACCTCGCATTTCTGCCAAGCGCGTGCCCCCTGCGTTTCTGCTCTCGTCGCATCAGCTCTCGCATGTCGCATCCCCCGCGCGTCTCACCTGTACTGACGCATACCTTAGCCTGGCTTTTTTACGCCTTGCATACGGAACTTCTACTGCACGTTAGTCTTCTTTTTCTCGTTAGAATTCGTCGCCCTCCTCACTCTGTTGATCTCGACCTCCGTATCTACCCCGCGCTCTCGCCCCTTCTACGACGATCCTGAGCCGTCGGTACCCCACACCTCTATGCCGCCTCCGCACACGGACCTACAGTAGCCATAGCCTCTCCCCTCATGAATACGACGGTCTGCGGCTCTCGCGTGTAACGGACGTCCGCAGTAACATCCGACTCTCCGAGCCCAGCGTGTATCGCTCGAGCCTCAAGGGAGACGGACGCGAGCAGCGCTGAGTGGGTGGGGCCTCGTGATGCGTGTGCATCCGCCCCACCCGTGTCGCCCGCGCGGCGGGAAGCAGGCGGGGGGCATGCACCAAGACATGGACGCATGACGTCAGACACATGTGCGCATAGCACCAGCGTCGAAGGCGGACGACGCGTGCCGCGCGTCTGCACGTGTTTTGGAGAGGGGACGGAAGAAGGCAGCTGCGTCGGGCGCGGGGACGAGATCTCAAGATCTCAATTATGTAAGGAACTGTGATTCCGACGCCGCGGAGGGAGCGCTCCGCGCCGAGGACGATCGACGCATGTCGTTTGTTGTGTGTTTTGTCGATGTCGATGGCCCTCGACCGGCGTGCGCTTGACGCCGGCCTGAGCGAGAACGCGGCGCCGGCTTTGGGTGCAGACGCAGAGGAGGCCGCGGGTGGCAGGGCGATTGGATTGCGAACAGCAGCTTGGTCTGACGGAGGAGATGGTGTGTCGGGTAGGCTTTGCAGGGATCAGGAGGGGGCGCGAACCTTGCTCGGCACGGGTATGTTCAAACCTTAGTTTGTGGGCGTGCGCTGGAGATGCCCATGGCAAGTGGGTGCATGCGACGCAGCGCGGCGGTGCGATAAGACAAGGACAGCCTCGGAGTCCCGGACACCTGCGCAGGGGTGTGCGCGGATCAGCCGGTGCTGCTCAATCACGGCGTGCAAACGCTTAGAGACGAGAGTTGGTGATCGCGGAGCCTACGGCACATGCGACTTGCTTTATGGAGCGGGTTTGATACAGCAGCGGTCGTCTCGACTCCGAGTTCTTCGAGTGGACCGCACCCATCAATCACGAGGGATGATGCATTGATGCATGTCAATGGCGAGATGTCGGTGAGACTCGAAGTCTGTCTTGCATGATAGTCTATAGAACGGGAACCAGCGCGGGTTTTGTCAAGTAGCGGAGTCGAACTCCCCACCGCCTCCAAGCGGAGCTCCCACGGTTCGGAGCGCGCGCACGGACACGCTCGCGCTCTGCTCCGTGCACTCCTCCTGTTCCCGACGCCCATCCCCCGCGGGTCTGGTCGCCACCGTCGCCACCTTCCCCATCCGTACGGCCTTTTCTCAAGTACGGTTGCTGTTTCTGCGCCTTGCACTCGCAACCGGGAGTCAGGTGCGTCTCTCTCTCCCCTCTGCGGCGATGCGTGGAGATCTAGATACTGGACTGGGGCTATGTCCACACGGACCGGGCGCGCGGTGTGGTGCAGGTGCAGCGCGTGCGACCTGTATGCGGTAATGGATGCTGGCGCAGGGCGGGGACGCATATAGGCGGGTGCGTGTTGGTGCTGGTGGTGGCGTTGGATGAACGCATCGCCGTCCATTGTGCGCGGCGCGCAGGGCTAGCGCAAGGGAGATGAAGGGTGGACAGTGGGCAGGTGCTGGGAGTTTAGATGGGATGGCGACGGAGAACGGAAAACGTGGCGAGCTAGTCCACAGGCATCGTTGTTGTCCTGCGTGTGGCTCTGGCCCGCCCGCGCCGTCCATTGCGTGCAGGTATGGCTCACAGTGCTCTGGTGCCGCCGATGCGTCGTGCATGAGCCCACGCTGACGATTTGACGATCGCAGATCCCCAATTTCCGTGCGCCATACATAACGCGCGGCCCGGGGGAGGGACAACAAAGCACCCACCGCGGGCCGTCCGCCTCCATTTCCACCTCCGTCGTGGCTTCTCGCCCGATCTCTCGAAGTAGATCTCTACACGAGGCACGTTGCGTTCTGTTTGCATTCCGTCATCTTTTCTCTCGGCCGCCTGCCCAATCCGGAGACCTCTCGAACACGCTGCGCACCGCACGCTGTGCGCGCTGCATGACTGGCGGGCCATGATGCATCGCAGAACGCTGCGAAGCCCTACGCGTCCATCTCTCTTCTCGTATCTATACTGGTGGGGTGCAGCGTGCACGCTGAAGTGTTCCTTTGCACCCCGTGCCGACATCTTGGCTCCCCATCTGTATAGATCGAACATCTCACTTGAGCACGTATGGCGTGCTGACGCTGGGGCGGATAACGATCCGTCCTGGCGTCTTAGTCGCTCTTCTAGTGCCCGGTGCTCGATTCGCAGGAGGTGAAATCACTGGATTTGAAACGTAGAACCGTCCCGTGAGCCTCGACGCCTCATTGCTCCGATTGCTGGCGGGGGAGAAGTGCTTGCGTCTTGCCTTGCCTCGCTCAGACGTCACAGGCGATATGTCCGGGGCCGCCGGGAGCCTCGCATGTGCACCCACTGGTGGCGCATCTGTACATCTGTCTGAGGCATCCACCCTGGGATTGGGATCATCCCAGAGACTCTGCGTTGGGATTTTGGCCAGTGGTTCTTGTGATATATCACTGTATCTTTATCTTCTCGCTTTCTGCTCTGACCTCCCTCGGATATTAGACGCTCGAACTCGAACTGGTATGTGCCATGTTTTGGCTCCCTCAAGTTTTTCTTAGGGTTGCAGTCGTGTTCTGTGAGCGCTCTTCATCGAAGCTGGAAAGGTGGAAGATGTTAGTGGGAGAGTGACAAGGTGATGCAGAGTCAGGGGATGCATACCATACGTATTTTTCCAACAGCGGAGTGTCACGTCTACGCTCTCGGGGGAACTCACAAAGCGCACGCGCACCCGGCCCGCTCTGCGCAAAGTTGTTCTTGACGCCTTTGAACGACCGATCGACCAGCGTCTCCTGGCTTTCGCCGTCATCTCCACCACCTCTCGGTCCACGACCTCCGCTCTCCACTCCTCCTCCATCTCCTCATTTATCATGTCTTGGATCTCAGGCTCTGCGTAGATCGGGGGTCATCTGTTCTCCCCCAAAGCTGTCAAACATGCTCATCAGATACGGGGTCAACGACAAAGTTGCTAGCCTTACGACGGCCAGACAGCACTTCTCTACCCACTTCAATCTCAATGCGCCGAGCCTCGTTCCTTTTGGCCTTGTCGACGTCACCTTTCAATCCTCCCATGAGTGCGTCTTGGGCTGCAGACTTCCTTTCGTTGATCGTGTAGCGTCTGCACCGGACGTCTCTCTCGACGGGGCGACTGGATTGTGCGTCAACTACCATGACTATCATAAGTACAACCGATTTCTATGGGGATGACTCGGAGCCCAGCGCGTATCGCTCGAGCCTCCGAGAGGGACGGACACGAGTGGCGCTGGGCTGGCGGCCCAGGCCTCGCGACGCGCCGGCCGCCACCCGATGGGAAAGGACCCCGGTCCCGCCACGGTCACCTCTGTCGAGCCGTCGCGGTCGCTTACACAACGTTGCGACTGGAGGTATCAAATGGCGTAGGCGGCTTATATATTTCTCTCTACTTACCTCCGTGGACCGTTACAGTCCTCTCCGCGAGCGCGTCTCGGGCCTTGCTCCGCCCTCCCTCCGTTCCGCCCTCCCGTTCATCCGCTCCATCAAACCAAGCGGCTGCACTTCTCCGTCTCGCCCTGCCACCCGCGGCGCTGAGCGCTGATGCGCCGATGCGCACTGCGCGCCTGGACGCGCGCGCGTCGGAGGGGGTGCGGACGGAGAGCTGGGTCGGCCAAAGTCTCATCGATTCTCGAGGCGGTCGACGCGAACTTACTCTGGACCTGAGCTTCACCTTCAACTTTCAAGTAGACTCGGCAACTGAGGTTGAACGTTGAGGTTTGTACGCGGCTTAGATCTTACTGGCCGCTATGGTGCGGTATCGTCTACTTACTCGCCAGTTCGTTCCGTCGGCGTCGAGCTGACGAAGTGGCGAAGGTCAAACGATCACTCGAGCGTCGACATTACCGTGTTCGGCAATTGTCGGGAGAGGGATGACGAGCGACTCGGAAGGCTTCTTTCGGCTGTTGGATTGTTGCTGACAGGCCGTCGTCCTTAGACTGCACACGAATGTCGTTCCCCTTAAATATCGCCATCGTCCCTGTCGTCGCGCCCGTAAGTAGGGCCTCAACCTCTTTTGGCTTCCGATTTTCCTCTCTGTGCTCCTCCGTCCACACCGCTCGACGCATCCGTTCTCCGCGCACCCGTTCTCTCTCTCTCTCGGTCTGGCACAGCTCGGCGACCTCTCACCTCGCCGTCGCCCTCTGTATCCAGTCTCGCCGGGGCCCGACGCGCACCGACACGCACCGAGCCCCCACCGCCATTCTCCGCTGGCTGCGGACGGATGAGGATCGCTCGCCGCGACGCCCCCAGCATCCCGTCGAATGTCCGACTCGCACTCGCTGCGGGCACCCCCTTCCCTCGACTTGACGATCGGCGCCGAGCTCGTCGGACTCGGCGTCTCGCTCGCGTGTGTTGCCACGTGTTTCTCGATCGCGACTTCACGCTGCTGACGCGCGGCGCGCGACGACAGGCTCTATGGCGCGACGACCGGCCAGCTGTTCTGGTACTTTCGGAGGCTCGACGGGTTGAGCCTGAGGAAGTGGATGGTCTACTACGTGAGTCTTCGTTCGGTCTTGTGCGCATATAGTCAGGTTGGACAGGCGTTTATAGGTCGTGGCGTTATGGTGAGCCTGTACTTCTGCAGGCCGCAGAGCCGCCGCGGGAAGTCTTATGCCGCTTTCCCCATGCCAGGCTGTTGGGCACCGTACAAGCCGTGCTCTCCTCATATCTCCTGGGCAGATACGTTGTCGTCGGAAGGGGTAACTTCGCCGCCATCTTCGGCTCCACGAAGGCTTACGCGGTGCGTCTCTCCGTGAACCCCTGCCGCGTCCGTGCTCACGTGTGTCGTTGACCTTGCAGGCAAATACCATAGCTTCGGTGAGCGATAGCTGTTGCTAGAAAATACCCAGGCCAGCTTCTGACATACTCGCCCTTCTCCGTCGCAGGACATTAGCAGCTGCATGGTCCGGTTGTAAGTACGAACCTCGGTTGGGTATGCAAGGTCAAATGC